CGCATCGCGGAACGCCACCCGGCAGGTGATGCAGGTGTATGTCGCCATGGCCAGGCGAGAAACAAGAGGCGACCTAGCCAAGAATCTAACGATTAGCGTTCCGGTCCCACAGTCCGCTAGCGATTAGCTTTACGCAGAGCTAGGAACACAGACTCGGCGCTCCAACTTCCTGCTTCTCACTGAGGGAACTTCCGGTACACGCCGGAAGATATTCACACCTGGAAGGGAAATCCCGCCTCTTGGCCTGGGGCCACGCCCCGGAAGGCGAGGGAAGTTCGTGGCTGACCAGCTCCTGGATCCACTCAGCCAGCCGGAAGGCGGGGTGGGTGTTGATTGTCAGGTACCGCGTCCTCTCTGTTACCTTCCTCCGCGGTTGTGCGGTGATGTGTGACGCGGTCCGGGCGATGGCTATAATAGAGGGTGATGTGGGTGCCCGGGTTTGCTCCCGGTCCTGGGAACCCTCGAGGAAGGTCCGGCCGGCGAACGGTGGTCGGGGGTCCTCGACACCCGCTTGCTTTGCCCACGAGCCGGGTGAATGCAGGTGGCGAAAGCGGGAAACGCCCTCTGGGACCTTCGCACCCCAGCCGGTCCCGCTGGACTGATTCACCAAGTGACCCGAGAGTTCAGCCCCGAGCCTCGTCTTAGGGCGAGGGAAGAGCGCAGGCGAAGCTCTTAAATGAATAAACGTTTTCCTGCGAGGTGCCCAAAGCACAGCCAAACCACTGTCCAATGGAAATATAATCCAAGCCACATCTGTAATGTTAAATCTGTGTCCGTATTATTAAAAAAAGTAAAAATGGGTGAAATCGCTGTTAGTGATATAGTTTGTTCTTAAGTTTTCAGTAGAAAATATTTTAAAAGATAATTTACGTTCTTTTCTTGGTATTAAATCTTGGAAATCTTGTATCTTGCAACCATAGCTCATCTCTAGACTAGCCCCATTCCATGTGGTCAGTTGCTTATGTACCTTCACATATATATATGCACGGTTTTATAGGAAAACATGAACTTTAAAAACTTGGGGAAGTTCATAGGTTTATCTACACAGTTGAGTAGAACCAGAGTCAGATTTTTTTCAGAATCCAAGCTGCCAATAGCACCAAGAGAAGACACGTTGTTAAAATATAGGCCAGATTGTGGAGCTCTTTGCTCAAAATCCTTCAAACACCTACCTTTGTGTTCTAGGTCCTACAAGATCTGCTACCAGGAGGACCCCTACTTCTGATCTATTCAACCTTCTCTACCTTGCTCAACCTACTTTGGTCACAGTGACACTTGATGTTATTCTAACAAGCTAAGCAAGTGTCTTTTGTTGGTATTGTTCTAGAACTCCTGTTATTCTGCTCTGATCTTCTTGCTCACATTATAAATCTTGAAATAGACTTTCTCTGAAATTAGGGCAACCTCCTGTTAACTTGTTTTTCTGCATTCTGTTTTTCCTCATTTCAAGAATAGAGGCTGAGGGGCTGGTCCCCCTGGCCTGACAGATTCCCAGTAAATTAAAACTGATATAGTCTCTGGCTAAACATAACCTAGCTAAATCTGCATATGTATATTTTCTGCCTTTAGTCTGTTTGCCTTTTTTAAAGAATATTTTTGGTTATAGGTGGACACAAAACCATTATTTATTTTTTATGTGGTGCTGAGGATTAAATTTAGTGCCTCACACATGCAAAGCAAGTATTCCACCACTGAGCTACAACCCCCAGCCCTTGTCTCCTCTTTTGAAAGCTTTCCTTGAGCCAGGCACTATGGCCTATGCCTGTAATCCCTGCAGCTCAGGAGATTTAGGCAGGAGGATTGCAAGTTCAAAATCAGCCTCAGCAACTTAGTAAGGCCCTAAGCAACTTAGTGAGACCCTGTCTCAAAATAAAAAAAACGTAGGGAGCAGGGAGGCTTGGGATGTGGCTCAGCAGTAAAGTGCCTTGGGTTCAATCCCTGGTACCAAAAAGAAAAAAATAAGATTTCCTTGTCCTTGAGTTCCCTGGATGATTTGAGGCAAAAACCGAAAACAGATCTCCTCCATAATCCTTCAAAGTTGGCTTCAAATAACCATTTTCCTGCCAACTTGACCCTATAATATTTGTGGAGTCTTGTGAGTACTAAAAAGCCTAACCTCTTACTCTCCCTACTGCATGTAGTAACAATCTGAGTATCTTCAGAAGAGAGGCTTATCTAAATGCTTTGTCAAAAATAGTGCCCACCTCTATTCTAAGTCCTTACCAGAATAAAAGTTCTCTATGATGCTATTTGGTTATGTATTACTTTGTATTGAATTACTCCAAAATTCAGCATCAAATTTCTGCAAATCTTGATATGAGTGGCTTAGCTGGGTAGTTCTGACTCCATCTTATGAGGTTGCAGTGAACCTGCTGCCAGGGCTAAAGCCACCTGAAGGTTTAGTATTTGTCTGTGGCTGATGGAGTCCCATCAAGAATGGTTCACTTACATACTTGATAGCAAGAGATTTTGGTTTCTCACCAAGAGGAAGACCTAGGTCAACTTGAGTACGGTATCCCCTTAGCACAGAGTAGAGTCACAAAGTCTTTTTTGTGACCTGGCCTTGGTCACACACAGTTATTCCATAAGGTGCAATTATGCAGGTCAGCTCTATTGAATGTGAGAGGGAACTACAGCAGGGAATGGATACCAGAGGAGTGGGGCAAGATGGCCTTTCAGGACCATTTTCAGAGATAGGCTACCACTCAATTATTATCACTGATTTTCCAGTTTTAGCAAACATAACCTAGCTATTTTATCTTTATTTTGTTAAATTAGAGAAACAGAGTTGTTAGGTGAACTTTCCAGAGCCCCAAAGCCAGTGGGGCTAGTTTAGAACCTTACACATTGTGCCCAATTAACTGAAATAATAGGTATTTTTTGTCGCATTTCCATACATTTATTCCACAGGTATTTATTGGACTATGAGGCCACTATAGTGCTAGACCCATCATAAGAACGTCACAGAATTTTCTTGTAAACTTACTGATTGCCTTTGTTGTAATGTTTAAAACATTGGCTTAATTGGGACACAGGCAGGAAAAATAGCTCCCCCCCAAAAAAATTACTTCAGATACTTTTTTCCATTTATTCTTAAAACATCCCAGTGTGAAAAGGGAAGAATTAACTTCTTTATTGTATGTTTAGGAAAATTGAATCATGATTTGGAGACATGGTATGACTTTGACATTGTGTTTTAGAGCCATAATATTTAACATTAGAACCAGAATTCCTATTTCCAACATTCTGTTCTAACATAAATGCTGCAGTGGAAATGGAGGAATAATACACAAAATATAATTCTGAGACTTTCTAACTTGACTATGATACAAATGATCTGTGACAACAGATATTACAACAGTAATGTTTGCATTAAGTTTTGTAAAAAGTACCATTAATGTATTGTGTAAATTTGTATTCATATATTTTTGTAAAAATACTAAGTTTTTCTTAATATTTTCTTAGTTGTAGATGGACACAATATCTTTATTTTTATGTGATGCTGGGGACCAAACCCAGGGCCTCACGCATGCAAGGCAAGCGCTTTACAACTGAGCTACAACCCCACCCCCAGTAACAGTTTTCACAATGATTTCCTGTCTTGCAACTAACACTAATGGAACAGTATAAAGAAATACACTAGTGGGCACTGTGGTGCATGCCTTTGATCCCAGCGGCTTGGGAGGCTGAAGTAGGAGGGTTGCAAGTTCAAAGCCAGCTTCAGCAACTTTTCGAGACCCTAAGAAACTTAACAAGACCCGCTCAAAGGAAAATATTTGAAAAAAGGGTTGGAGATATGGCTCAGTGGTAAAGCCCTGGTTCAATCCTTGATATATAAAAAAGAAAAGAAATACACTAATGTAAATTATAAACAGAAAATAAAAATGTTAAAATCACTTAAGTGTCACTTTGCTTCTGGGTCTACAATCAACATGCTGGCATTTGCCACTTTTTTAAAGGAAGAAAGGCACTTGTTTTAAGTAAGAGTGAGATGCCTTAAATATGTTGAGAATATTTGCTAATTTCAAAAACCTTGTAAATAAAATAAAATACTAATTCTACTAAATTAGGGAGGGGTAGTTTTTAAAAATCACTTTTGAAGATTTTAGGGTAAGGCAAAAGCAAAGGCATTGTAGAATGAGCCTGTCCAAGCCTTTGCTTCCAAAGCAAACCAACTTTTTGAACACTGCTTTATTGTTTTAGATCAAAATACGTGATAAATATATGCTATTCCCTTTTATGATTTTGCTCAGCACTTTCTGTTGGAAGTAAGCAAAACTTCTTGACAGCTCCTCTACAATTTGAAAAGAAAAAAATCCACAGTTCACATTTTAATGACTTCATTCCACGTAGATACTACAAGCCATTTTTTTGTCAGTTCTTTTTTTCTTTTTTTAGATATTGAAGAAATATTGCATCTTTTATGGATTTCGTGGTAAAAGATATGTCACCCCCACAAGACTGGATCAGTTGCAGAGTTTATTTGTTACTATAGCTTAAAAGCAGAAAGTGCCCTTCTCCAAAATTCACACACACAAAACCCTTGTCAACACCCCTGTGTTTGCATTAAAAGTTTTGTAAAAAGTACCATTAATGTATTGTGTAAATTTGTATTCATATACTTTTGTAAAAATACTATTAAATTACATATGTGGTTATAATGCTATGGTCTATAAAGAGCTGGTATGTTTCCTCTATAGTGCTGATGACACATTTTTCTACCCTACCAGCTTCCCATACCCGAACCCTTTTTTAGTTTGTAACATTTTGTTATAGATCTATTGCTCATACCATTACACATTACTAGCCCTTGAATTGTACTTCTTATAGGCTTATTCAGTGACTTACATAGTTTAATTTCCTGGATATTAAAATTTAAATTCTTCTTGTTTTTTTTTTCAGTGAAGAAATTGAAATGGCCTTTAAATCTTTTGACTTCATGACCAAGAATTTTTTTTTAAGAAACACACACATAAAAAAAAGAATCCAGGTAACAACTATTTTATAAATATGTGACTGTATTTTTCTTCATGTCCAGAAACTTATTGAGTAGAATTCAGGTATATTCTTCCAAAACCCACAGTCAGAGATTTTCTAACACAGGTTGACATTTGTACCAAAATGGGCAAGATAATGAAGGCACAGGCTCACTTAGTATCAATAAGGGACATCAAACACAGTCATGAGGCACTAATGAAACATAAGCTTAGTCACAAAAAGCAAATGTTCGAAGTTTTCAGTAACTTTTCTCCCTTTAACATTTGGCAAAATTCAGTCTAGATATTTTAATACCTCAGAAAGAAAAAATAAATAAGATTCTACATTAAAACCTATAATTCATTTTTAGAAATATAAGAGATACAATGAAAGGAGGGGAATGCTGATTTCCTATATTCTTAGATTATCCTTCCTTTCTGAGGATCTCAGATGTCTGTGCATCTGCAGAAATGCCAGCTCTAACTGAAGATTTATGAGTTTATAGATAGTTGCTGACATGGTCCCTCAACACTACTAAAAGTCTGTATCACAAAAACAAAAGCTATCTTGGTTTCTGCTTTTTAGTCCTTTGTTTTAAACTGCAAGTCAAATTTGATTATAGGTGACCAAAAAATTTTAAGTAAAATATATATTTAACTTCCCAATAAGAAACAGATTACATATTTAGACTTCAATGGCAAATAAATACACTTTAAAGCCAAGCAAGTTCCTCTCTTCTATCTAACAAATAAGAAAAAGTCACTTTTTTTATTGCTGATGACCACATCACTCATAGAACATATCAAGAACTAGTTTCACGATTTTAGGAGACTCTTTCTATGAAACAATATAAAAGATGAAGGTTTAACTTAAGTCTAAACAGGCAGAATAGACCTGTACTTACAACACTCCTATTACAAACATGACAAAACTGAACAATAAAACAGCTGAATCTCTGTTTGCATCATAACCACCATCTATGTGATACGTAACTACTCACTCTCTATGGGTTAATACCACCCACTGCAAGCCTAGAGATGGCAATCAATGTAGAATGCCACCTTACAATTAAGCCTGTGTCTACAATGTAGAATGCCACCTTACAATTAAGCCTCTGTTCTACAGAGAGAACATGGAAATGTTTCAGCTTACCCATAGCGCTTAAGTATGTTTTAAAAATATTTCCTAGGAAATTAATTTTCATAGTATTTCCCAAATCCTTCAACTAAAGACATCCTGATAATTTGTTTTTTTTATATTGAAGTCTATCAGGTTTTATTTTTTAACTGTTTGCAAGTATTAGGAGTAAGGGAGAGGATACAACATGAATTCACAATTATTAATATTTTTCAGTGACAACAAAATTTTGCATGCTTAAAAATTAATTATAAGTAAAAATAGAGAATACTTATATAGAAGGATCTTAATAATTTGGTATTTGGGTATTCTTTTCTTTATGCTTTAAAAACAACCCCTAATATTTTCTGACAACACAGTATTTATATATATTTATATATATATAAAGTTCATTTCCATGCTTATTACGTAAAAATAACTATCAGAAATATCAATCTATCAGTGTCAGCTGATATATATCCAATTAATTCACTGCAGAAGGGAAAATAAAAATCTAAAGTAATCATTAAAGCTCACAGTTCAATTTTTTTTTTCCTTTTTTTTTTTGTCTTTTTTTTTTTTTTTTTGTCTTGTTTGAAATTTTTTGGTGGTTTATCTGTGCTGCTGGAGGCTGATTCCCAGATTAATGGCCTCCAAGGAAATTTGAAAGGAAGCCTGAAGACTTCTTACTTTGCTGTGCATCTGCTTCCTGGTCTTGTGTAAGTCCCAATTCACTCTCAATTTGATCCAGCTCTGACTGGTCAAGTAATTCAAAGTCATCACCTTCTTCAGTGTCTGTGTCCTCCCCTGGGCTGGGTGCAGCTTGAGCAAGTACTTGCTGAGCACTCTCTAGCTGGTCTTTAATAGCAGCAGTCACTGCAGCTGTGATGACGTTCCCGGCCAGGTTGCTCATCAAGTGGAAAGTTTGGTCACTGTTCAGAGGAAGGGTGAGACCAGCTGCTGATTGTCTCTCTTTGCTTGGTCTGTGACCACTTTCCAGATGTTCCTTTTTTCTCTTGAGCTCAGTGGGCAAGCCAAGGCTTAATTCATCTTCATCATTTGTTCCCGTGCCATTTTCTAGAGATGGAAAATCTGAAAGATCTCGAGAGAAAACTTCCTCACTAGGCCGGTCAAGATCTGTGAAGTGCATAATAGAAGTTCGTATTTAAGCACCAAAACAAATTTAAAATAAGAGCTGTCTAAAATCTGACTTTGATTTGAACTTTCCAGGCAACCTTGACATTAATCTAGCCTCTGGAGTCAACCTAAATCAATTTAACAACGTATTGGACCCTTCCCAAATCTGTGACACTAGCTCTCCACAAGTCCATAAATATTGTATGTCCACCTATAGCTTTTAACTTGCCTCTTAAGCACAAAACGTTGCAATTATCACTTAATATTCAGCTTGTCTAATATGAGCTTTAGGATTTGACTAAAGTTCAGGTGTTCATCGTAAAAATTCCGTCCTGCCCCTAAAGTGGGAATTATCTTAAGCCACTGGGAATATGCACGATCACAAAATTTAAAAATATGTGAATTGGAGGTATTCGTGGATTCTGATACATCACCTTTTGGTTATTATCCAGCCTGAGCATTTCATACATGGAGATTTTCTTCCATATCTATAACCTGTGACTGTTTAAAGCAATGAAAAGAAGCTCCTGCCCTCTCTGTTCCAGTTCAACCCAAGAGCTTATGGAAGTATTTGGCTCTCCATCAATATAGCTGAAACTGGCCATGCCAAGATTCATGATATTTGTAAGCAATGTCACATGAGGGATAGACTGATTTACTTTTCATAGAAAATCTTTCAGTGTAACAGTGAACTCCTTGCAAAAGTGGTTGGAAATCAAATCTATTAATGAAATCCCTATATGTTGATTGGATGGTTGTTGTCCCTTTTGTTACATAAATCTGAGATGGGATGGTTAAAACAAAGTGATTGTTATTCTTGTCTTTAAAATATGACCTCAGTTGTAGATACCAAAAGCTTACAGACCTTGAGTGAACAAGAACCAAAAGCTTATAGACCTTAAGTGAACTTCACTGTTCCTCTTGTTCTAATGCACTTTAAATACGACAAAATTGAGGTCCACAAAAATTATGTCATCTGCTTAAGGTCATACAGTGAGCTACTAGCAAGGCAAGACTACACTTGGGTCTCCCAACCTCCAAACCCATCTTTCACACACTTCACAGCCTCCCTCCCTCCCTCCTATAGAACATGTATTTTGGGAAAGTAATTATAAAACCAGGTTACTTATCCTCTTCCATATAATCTGCTCATATGTTCAGTATATGGCTGAGACCATTGAAAAGAAGGTCCAATTGGACAATTAATCCAATGAGACTAGCAAAAGTTAAGTTATTGCATAAGCATTGACTCAACTTATGTTATGGATGGAATTTATATTATTAAATTCAATTTTTACTCTACTACTTTAAATTGCATTTTACCTAGCTATAAAAAACAAAGAGACTTGATTAACCTTGAAGATAAACATGAGAAACTCTGGAATTGGCTTTACTCAGGGGAACTTGCCCTCCATACTTTAATCTCTTTTAATAAATACCAGGGCCAAATATATAAAATCAGCTTTCTTCTTTCCCTCTTCCCATTAATGCTACAAGGAATGCTGCCAGACATTTCATAAGGTAATTTATATATTAAAAAATTATATAAATATATATATATATATTTTAAAAACTATGTATATACATAGTTTTCAAAATAAAGACAGATTTTGGCATAGACATTTTTTCTCATGTTTCTTTAAAATAACCATTTTTGAGATGTAATTCACATACCATAAAATTCATCCTTTTAAAATATACAGTGCAGTGTTTTTTTAGTATATTCACAAAGCTGTACAATCATCACCATTAATTCTAGAACACTTGTATTACTCCAAAAAGACCTACTAATTAACACCATCTTTCTCTCTGCTAGTCCCTAGAAACCACTAGCCTACTTTCTCATATATTAACTTATTTATTCTGGACATTTCTTGTAAATGGAATCATACAATATGTGGCCATTTGTGTCTGGCTTATCTACCTCCCTCGCCCCCAATGCTGGGAATCAAACTTGGGGCCCATGTTGGGCAAGCACTCCATCTCTGAGCTATACCCCCAGCCCAGTACATTACTTTATTACAGACCAGTAAGATTCCACTGTAGAGATATACACATTTTATTTATCCATTCATGATTGACAGAAGTTAAATATTTTTACTTTTACTCCATAATAAGAAGAGTATCCAGAAATATGAGCATACCGTCAGAAGTGTCTGTCTGTGGAGTATAACCTTCGGAAAGGTTGAAGGTCCCATTATCAGTCCAGGATACTTCTGAGACATCTGTGTCAGACACAGATAACTCTTTGGCAGCAACCGTGAGGCTAATCTGTATTAATAGACATACCAGTAGCACATTTTAAACTGCAAAGGAAAATCTTATGAAAAACCCACACTAACCCCTGAAATGCCATAATAATAAAAACAAAGTTATGAGTATTTTTCTTTGAGTTTGTTCAAATAAAATAGGAAGAGTCTATCAGGAAATCATTCAGCCTTGATTCATGTAAATAAATGTACAACCAAACCACATAAACATATTGAAAACTAAACAAAAATACCTTAGGACAAAGAGCTGAAAAGTCTAATTCACTGTCATCTTTGTGACTTTTTTCTTTTTCTGCTTCTGTTGAAAAAAAATTGAAAGCTTTCAGTTTCCTGTCAAGCTTAGACTTAGTGTATTTATTTTATCATATATTCTTACCCCGTATTCCCCTTATTCTCCAATGCCTCCCTACCATTAAATGTTTGCTTAAGAAATTTCACATATTTGCAAGTGTTTGCTTTTCAAAGGAAACTGTACCTACTAGTGGTTCTCATAGCATGAACCAATATCATCATCATCATCATCTCTAGGAACTTTTTATCAATACAGATTCTTAGTCTACTGATTCACAAATTCTGGGTTGGGACCCACAATCTATATTTCCCCAATTTGTCCAGGTGATTCTGATGCACAATATAGTTTGAGAACTTATAAGGTCATATACCAAGTTAAAATTTTAAAATGATCATATTGGTTTTTTCTCTATTTTCCTTCCCCTGTTATTTCACTCCACTCTTATCCCTACCAATGGCATTTTTTTATTTGTAATTGTTCACCACATATAATAAATAGCAAGATAAGGAAATCTTTTCTCCCTCTCTTAAAAATTTTGATTAAAAAGTCAAAGTTAATTGTGTATTTGTGAAAAGAATAAAGCCTAAATAGGAAAAGACCACATATATTATTTTGGGGGATTAGCTTCTATAATCATATTTAGTAAAAGGCTAAATGCACCCTGAAATGTATAAAGGCAATTTTGTAACAAGTAGCCTGCTAATGTCTTACTTGATGCATAGAATCTAAAATTCAAACTTTACCTACCAGATCTCTCTCGTTTCTTCTGATTAATATATTCTCCAATTCCAAAATCTAGTTTCAACAGAACTGACTTGATTTTGCTGTAGATTTTTTGTCCAATATCATTACATTTAAACAGTGGACACAAAAACGCAAACAGTACTGAAATATAAGAAGGAAGAGAATATGGGTAAAATGCACTTCCTTACAAAAGTTTACATCTTAGTATTTCACAAAATACTGTTTTCTTTATTGAAAAATAGAATTCTTTTTCTTAGGATAATGCCTTTTCCTAATTAGGTTCATTTCCTAATTTCTATTCTTCCTTGTCATGAAATATGTTTTAGTACGTACATGTACACACACACACACACACACACAGGCACTGTCTTGTAGACTTGCAATCAGATCAACTTCCTCACCTTAATCCTTTTATCTTAAAACCTATAGAAAGGTTGTATGTTTTTCAGGCAGTGTCCTGAGTTAAACTTCACCTCTGTTTATTTAATGACATTTTACCATGGGAAGGTTCTTGTTATCTATGATCCTTGCCTCAATAGCACTGATACTAATAGTGTTGCTTTGGGTCGTTGTGCAGTAAAAGATGAGTGCAAATCTTCTGAAAAATACCTTGCCCATGTTCCTCCTTCCCCAGCACTTGTCTTCTTTTCCTCCTAAACAATGCTGATCCAGTGGTTGATATTTTCTGAGAGTTCTATTTGGAAGATTGGATTTGAGTTCCAATCATTTGCCATTTGTGTTATACATTAGAAATACTATAAGAAAAAAGGATTGCCAAACTGAATGTATTATATTCCTTAGTGATTATTTCTCTGTTGTTCTTAGGAAATATCTCAATGCTGAGGAATCATGTGAATTTTAAAAGCCAGTGTAATAAAATGGGAAAATAAGTAGGGAGTGCCTGCCCTATAAAAAGGTAGCCGTGACAGATCTTCATGTTTCAGGAAAAGAAGAAAATCTACACTTCTGTAGCAGCACTTTTGAAATATAGTTGACATACAAAGACTTGTACCAGCTAGATATTTGTCAACTTGATAAGCTCTGACATACACGTACACTGAGAAACCATCACCACAACCCATAGTGAACGTAACTACTACCCCCAAAGTGCCTTCATGTTTGTATGAACCTTCTCTTTTGCCTGCAGTCACACAACTTGACCATAGGCAACTGCTAACCAGCTTTGCCAATAAAGGTTACCTTTAATTTTCTAAAATTATATATAAATAAAATCATACAGTCAACTCACCCTAATTCCCACTCAACCTAATTATTTTGAGATTTATCCATAGTGTTTCATATATCGATTTTTAGTTAATTCTTTATTCTAATATACCACAGTTCATGCATTCATCTGGTCATATGGTCATATAGATTACACTCCACTTTTGGCTCCTACAAATGAATCTGCTATGAACATTTGTTTCTCTTGGATAAACACCTATCTGTGGGGCAGCTGGGTCATACACTAGAAACTGCCAAATTGTTATCCAAAGTGACTGTACCGTATCTACCCACAGTTAATGAGAATTCCAGGGGCTCCGTGTCCTTCCTAATACTTGATATGGTCAGTATTTTTAATTTTAGCCATTCTGGTGGAGGTCAATGAGATCTCATTGTGCTTTTATTTTTTTGAACCACAGAACTCATACAAGGCAAAAAAAGTGTTGGTATATTGGGGGGGTACAGTTTTACTGACATAATTTAACATAAAAATAAGTAATTACTTATGATCCTGGCTTTTGCAGCCATTCTTCCAATTTTAAAATATAAATACCTTTCTAGGGGGGAAAATAAGAGAAACTTTGTGCAGGAGATTAAAGATAAGCATCTTGTTTTATAAGGAAGAACTCATCCCTCCTCTTCCAAACTATGGGAGGTCTACTGACCTCTAAATGATGACATGTGCATCATATAAATTAGCCAAATGTTCTATTATACTTACACAGTAGATAGCTGAGTATAACCCCAGGAATGTAACTTCCCAAGATTGTAAAAAATGTGCACACACTGCAGACCAGGAGACAAAACTAGAAGTAATAGAAATAACAGGGGACAGTTATGCACAAAACTAAGACATTTGGAGCACAGAATACACATGCTATCATTTATCTATATGTGACCTATCAGATTATGGCAAATGGTTTCAAACAGCACTCTTGGTACACAGACATTCAACATCGTTAGTTCACTTTAACACTCATAATATATCATGTTGAGAGCAGAGGAGTTAATTTTTTGCCCTGAAAATGATGACTGTCATTACTCATGCCTGTGACTGTGTTACTGCCAGCTGCAAGAAATCTAAAGAGAACTTATCCTAGAAACTTCTTTTACTCTGCCTCAGTTAATGGAAGTAATGCAGTCAGATAACTAAGTCAGCAATTTTAAACTACAACTGTAAGCCCATCCAAATTTATAAACACAGCAAAACATGTTACAGAAATTAGAGGCATCTACACCAATCTAATTAATTTCACAGCTGGTAAACTAAGATAAACTATGGTCATTGTGATCCTCCTTCCTAATAGACTTTATCCACTTTTAGGACACCTAGGAACCAACTACAAATGAAATGAAACTCCTGTTGTGAATCTGATCACTTTCCTTCTGTCGATTAAAAAAAAAAACAAACTTGGTTGTTTTAAGAAAATTGTTTTTTAAATCTACAGAAGATTTCCTTAATTCCCATTAGAAAGATCAAGACCAAAAGAATCTCTTATTAAAGTTTTCACTTGATTTACACACTCCAGTCTTAAAATCTTCCTCTTCTTATGTCTTTATCTTTAAATGGAGGTATTAAATTAAGTTGATAAGCAAGAAAAATTCATTAGTGGACTTTGTAGTAAGGAAAACAGACATGGGAGGAAGAAATACAAATCTCTGTTCAGTAACTGAATAAGAGAAAGCAAGGAGTCTAAATTTCAGGCTAACTTTGTTTTTCCATTCTTTGGCATAGTGTTTATAAGTTAACTAGCTAAAAGGAGTATAGAATTACTTGTGAAATAAAATTAACAGCAATTTCTGAAACATCAAGGGCCCTAGAAGAAATGTGGAATTCTAAAATTAAATGTTTGAGGAAGAGCTGCAGAAAATTGAAGGAACAAATATAATAGCATAACTATATCCAGAATTGAGTTTCGCAAAGCAATTTCTTATTATCCCTTAGATTTTGTAGCATCATCATCTTCAGTTGATGGACCTGAGGTACACTGATACAATGCAGGACAGAAGTTTAAAGCTTAGAATCTTCTGAAATACCTTTAATCAGTTGAGTAAAATAACCACCAAAAATACATCATGCCCCTAATAGATATCTATTCTTAAAGTTACCTTCAATGATTAAAAATTCCCATGGAAGACAACACTGCCATTCCAATATGCTCCAATTCTTTCCAAGCACAGTTCTATTATTCAATAATAGCAAAGTCATGAGACCTCTATACATAGTACAATGACAGGGATCACAAATGCTGACACTTATACTCTTCATTCCAACCACCCTTGAATATCTAACAAGGCCTGTCAGTGGTTCTGCAGTTCATCCTGACTACAAAGACTATCAGTCACAACCGAGGTTGTTTGCTCTTGCTCAGGATATTGCTTTCCAATCCTTTAGACTCACCCAGTGGGGTTTTTCTTAAATTAGGAAAACACTTGTTCCACTTACATAATCATAAGGAATGTTTTGGCCAAAAGTTTTATTTGTTAAATAAACCATACAAGTCTCCAATTTTCAGAATGAAAGTGACACACTGTTACCTCTGAAAGTACCTTAAAGGACTGTGTGTTCAATTCATGTCCCTTTGACCTCAGAAAATGGGCCATTAAACATGAATGAAATTCTAAATAAGACATTTTTTTTCCTTCTTGGTTTGGCTGATACAGACTAATCACCATTCAATTAATAAGCTAAATAAATGTATATGATATATAATTTCAAAAAAAATTTTGGTACTAGGGGTAGAACCAGGGATGCTTTAATACTGAGCTACACTCCCAGACCTTTTTATTTTCTATTTTGAGACAAGATCTCACTAAATTGCTAAGACTGGTGTCGAACTTTCAATCCTGCCTCAGCCTCCTGAGTTGCTGGGATTACAGGTGTTGTGTACCACCACGGCCCGGCACATACTAAAGTTACTGAGCCTTGCTGATTCCAGCTTTTCAGCCATATGTTCCATGTGTATTAAGAATTAGAGAATGTTTATGATAAAAGCATGTGATAAATGTACATTGCACATTTAGAACACACTCTTGTACTAGAAAACTTGCCTTTCCAGGGCTCTGCTGTTTAAAAAGAGACATTTCTTGAAGAAATATGCTGAAATTCATCCATGATTCTGCAATACAGTGGCTGAGTCTGGGTCTTTCATCTGGTTTGGAATTGATGACTTCCCAGCTAAGGAGACGAAAAGAAAAAAAAATGTTTTTGGTTCTTAACAAAAAGTACAAGCTTTAGATGATTTACTCAACATCCATGGCTTCAGCAAATATTGTTTGAGCATCTACTGTTGGCCTTACTCTCTGGAAAAGCCCTGTGAATTCAGAGATGAACCAGTCAGATACTTGCCTCATGAAGCTCATATGCCAAGAGATAATAAATCATCTAATTACAATAAGGGAAACACTGAAGAGAGGAGGAGGACAGGGTTGGGGCTTTGGGATATTATTAACCAAGGAAGTCAGTTTTGAGCTCATATCTGAAATGGATTAGCAGTTTACCCCCGTGTTCAGATAGAAAAATGTAGATATATGTAGAGAAAGAGCTGGAATGGGAAAGGGCTAAAATGCCACCCTACTAACCCTACTGTGGATCCAACAAAGTCAGGAGAAATATAACAAATAAAGCTCAGGAAGCAGGAGATGAGCTAGATCATACAAGGCCTTATATGTTTGTTAGAAACTTTTAAACTGTACAGATCAGAAAGACACAGTACTTTTAAAGAAACTTAGGTACTAAGCATATAATCATTATTAATACTAAATACCAATAATGTATTTTCAGTATGTATGGTAGTTGGTCAACTACATAGACAACTGGTACACTCAACAGGATCTCACAATGCCCGGTATTTCTGAAGTATCTTTTCCTGATCATCATCTAGAATGTGTTGAATGTGATGCAGAGACCAGGCAGTGTGCTGTGTGTGTCCCTGAACTCGTTTTGCCATGAGAATCTCAGTGAGCTAAAAGCAAAAAACAATCACTCCAGGAAGAAGAACATATGCAAGTTCCTAAAATTATAAGGATTCTTGCAATAGTAACCCATTTAAATATTCCAAGAACTATTAGTGAACTCTCATCTGAGTTACAATTGTAAGGGCATCAGGATGAGGCCGAGCTCTGGCTTCAACCCCAATACCTCTAAAACAAATCAAAGTGACCTTGGCCCATGATGTTCAACCTCACAGAAACTATATACATAGATTGTTACTTTTAAATATATTTTGAATAGTAAAGCAATTTGCAAATTAATTAAAATTCCTTTTGAAGTGTAAATTTTAATCCTAGTGTAATAAAATTTAAAAAGGCAGGGGGGGCGATATATTCCTTTTTCCCTTTGCCTTTGCCTCAATTGATGCTCTGCCAGAGAGTCACTGAACTATCAATTTTCCAGAATGATGTTATTCCACCAGGTAGGGATTTGTCAAATGAGTTCCTGCCTGTCATGAGAAATGACCTTTTGGGGCTGCCTCACTGCCCAGGAGTGTTGTGTAAGCATCAGCACTACCCTGTCTGGAATCACTAAGCATGCTACTTAAACTGGTGGTCAAATATGCACCAGGTTTGCAGTCCTAGTGACTTCAAACTTCCTGAAATAATAAGAATGCATGTCTAAAAAGCCACTGTCTGTAACAAAATCTTGCCTATATATATATATATATATATATATATATATATATATATATATATATATATATATATATGCTTCATGGGAAAGGATTTTTATTTTACTGGAGAGCAAGAACTGCATGGCAAAGACAATATAAAGTTATTAAATTGTCGTCTTTCTTCTTAGACAACAAATCGGCACAGACTCCAGAAATACGGGGCATTGTGAGATCTGTTGAGCGTGCTGTGTGTGTCCCTGCATTTTTTTTTACATGAGAATCTCAGTGAGATAAAAGCAAGAAACAACCACTCCAGGAAGAAGACATATGCATAGACATATGGGTATGTATATACATAGGCTTGGCTACTGGTCAGGTCAGTGGGCCACAATTCTTCATTTCTGCTTTCTGTATTGGGAACATTTAAAGGTCCAACTGAACTATTTGGCAAATATATAATTCTAACAAAAATCATTTAAAAGCATAATGAAAGGTTTTGAGTATCAAAATATTTTAAAGATTATTTTAAAGTATCTTTTAAAGATTCCTGATTCCCAGTACAATTCTATTCATTTTAAAACATGCTCTCTTCAAAGAAACAATAAACTCAAAGGCGTCCTTCAAAGAGACCACGTTGTAATTCAGAATGAGAAGGAACACTAGATGTTCTTCCTGCTCCTTCCTAGAACAAGGGGGGATGGGGTGTGACTGACCAACGTGGCATCACGTAGGACCAACCCTTTCCAGGAAAGCACAGCACTTCATGTGCAGAATCCAAATACTCAGCGGAAACTAAGATTTGTGCTTGGTGGTTGGTTGACGTTTAATACAGATGACGTCTGCACACACACAGAGTTGCTCCATAATGGGACTCTAGGTTTTCCTAGAGAGCCTTGCTTGGAAACACATAACCAGAGAAAGGATCTCTTGTGAATACTGGACAAGATTTGGAAAGCAGGTCTTTCCCATGGCATGTGGCTATCTTCCCACCATCCTTGGCACTAATTGGTCTATAATGCAAGGCCCAAGTAACAAGGAAATAAAATACACTTTAGCCTTCAAAACAGTTTGAGATTTTTACCAAGTTCTTAACCACAAGTACAAGTTCTCTGTGATTGAAACTCATCTAAGGGAGAAAATCCTGTTTCCTATTAACATTGCCTCCTTACTTTCAGAGGGGACATATCATTTTCAGTGCAAAGAGAAATGAGGCTCATGCTCTCATAGGTCTTCCCTTCTGTTCACCCTCCTTCCAACTTCCTCTCACACTCACACTCTTGCCTTCATTAAGCAGGGAACTGCTGCACACTCCAGCCACAAGATAAGGACACAGGAGTCACCATTCATGGCCACCAACCACAACTCATCATACTCAGTGAGTCCAGTTTCCGTGGTACTCAGGGAGAAGTTCCTGTAGCTCCAGCCTCCTTAAGGCCGCACCAGTTTCACGTGGCCTTTGCCCAAGTACCAGCAGCTGCAAATGCTTTCCAGTAAAGGCTCTAGCAGAGGCCATTTGGTTGTTTTCCTTCTTAAGAAAAACTGGTCAGGTGTTTTTGACAAAGGACATTTTGTAATCAACATAAGCAATTATTTACCAAAGAAACCCAAGCCAGGGCAAAGTCCTTTTTCAGTGGCTGAGGAACATGGTCACCTGCCTAAGGAAATAAAAATTAGTCGGGTCGCTCCTCAGGCAAGCAGCCTCACTGCATCCACACAAAGGACTTCAGCTTTCAGGTAAAATTTCTGCAGATCCCTGTTAGAATACAGCTAGTTGGTAGTTTGGCCAAAGCAGGCCTTTCGTGATGTTCATAAAATTGGGTGTGTGTAACACAGAGCTATTCAAACAGCACTGTCTGAGCCTTACTCAGGAGATTCTGGTGGAGCAGGCCTGGGTGAAGATCAGAAACCTTCGTTTTTAACAAGTATCCCGGAGGTTCTGAGGCACATGTGCCTTACCCTAAAGTCACTGTGAGAAACACCTGAGAGAAATTTCCATCGAATTCCCATTCACAAATAAAAAGTAGGGAAACATGCTTCTAGGCAAGATGGTGTGGCAGGGACCTACCTGTTTTACCCTCCCTCCTTAAACAACCAAACACGTACAAAGGAAAAAACCAGACAAAACAGATGAAGCAATGATGTTGAGGACCCTGGGCTTTATACAAGGAAGGACAGTGACCCCTGAGGGACAGGAAACCAATGAGGGAGTCTTGAGACCAGCTCCTGCCCTACAGGTCTCCAGGCCTCAGATAAGTGAAACCCACCAGGTCCCTGAGTTGAGGAGACAGAGTTGAGGGTCCAAAGAGGACACCCAAGAGACCAGAGTTGGCACAACACAAGATGAGGAAGTAGATGCTGTGCAGAGAGCAGGATCTGCAGGGGTGGCCCCTGGAGCCTTTAATGAGGACTGACCAGCATACATATTTGAAGAACCAGGAAGCCAGGAAAAAAGCCATGAGAAAGGACCAGAAGGATCAGTGCTTGTGCCAAGAATGACTCCTTGTCCCACCAACTATACTGGAAAACCTCATTGGATATTGGTGGAGTGTTCATCAGGGTCATGTCTCATTGCACAGAATAATCAGTTTTGAACTAAATGCTTCTTTGGTCCCACCTAGCAAGTCTTAAAAGCAAGCCCCAAAAGAATAAAACTTATTTTTTAAGTAATTCAACCATCATTTGTATGAATACATTGCACGAATACAAAGTGGTAGGTTTTGTTATAAATCAAACAACTCAATGGTCAAATAGGGATCTGAATGATTTTACTTTTTTTCTTTCATGTGTATCTTTTAAATCATTGTACTTTAAAGATACAGTTACCAAAACTGAAAGATACAGTTACCAAAACTGACGTTTAAATATTGTATTAAAAAATTTGTTTCTCTGTAGTTTAATAGCTACACACATGAGTTCTTGGGCACTTTGTCCAGTTTCAGAATGCAGTGCACAGTACTGTCCATTAGAGGAAGCTAAACAACCAGGAAATGTGACAGTTGTACTCCTTAAAAACACATTGTCATTCTGTAAGAGAGGACATATTGTAGCAGCCTGATTCCTCTCTTTCACTCCAAGTGTCTTTGAGCACTTGAAAAAGATGCTGAAACAGATGAATGTTGGTAGGGGAAAAATAATGTCTCTTGGTATCCCCTCACTTCACTTCTGTTCATTTAATAAATAGACACATTAACTGTTACTAGGTACATTAACTGTTACCATTCCTAGCTCCAGATATTTAGAGATGACAAAGGCACAGCCCTAAAAAATACACTTATTTCTAGATGTGACCCAGCATGATTCAAAACCTGCATGTGTGCATACACTCTCATATATGAAACTTACCTTTTTAAAATGGCACTTAATTGTATCTAGTGCTATTGAAGAAAAATAAATTTGAAAACTAAGTTGAGAATTGGATATGTGAAGGGAACCTGTTAAATACAAGATCTTTTCATTATAGTACATTTTACAGGTAATACAGAAAAATGAATTGTGTAGTCATATCCTAGTGAATTTAAAAGTCCAAGTAATATAAAGAGCTGAAAGCTATTTTTCAAAGCAAAATTTATATTTTTTAAATATATCAATGTTCAAATTCTTTTTTCTTGTCCTATTTTTTATTCTTATTTTATTTATTTATTTATTTTTGCCATGATTTATTTTTATTTTTTTTAGTCAATACATGACAGCAGAATGTATTTTGACATATAATACATATATGGAATGTACATACATCAATCATAATGTCTATTCTATTCTGCTGCCCTTCCTATCCCCCCTACTCCTCCCATCCTCTCCCATCATTTCTCTCTATCCAATCTAATGTGACACACTTTTTTTTCTTTTTCTCATCACAACATCATATATGTATTCTGTATAACAATGAGGTTCTCCTTCCATCTTCCGTGCAACTCCCCTTCTCCCTCTTTTTTCCCTCCCACCTCTCTTCCCTATTTAGTGGTAGTCTTCTTCTCATGCTCTTCCTCCCTATCCCATTTTGAGTCACCCCCCCCCTTATATCAGAGAAGACATTCAGCATTTGTTTTTTAGGGATTGGCTAACTTCACTTAGCATAATCTGCTCTAATGCCATCCATTTCCCTGCAAATGCCATGATCTTGTTATTTTTTAGTGCTGAGTAATATTCCATTGTGTATAAATGCCACATTTTTAAAATCCATTCATCTATTGAAGGGCATCTAGGTTGGTTCCACCTTCTAACTATTGTAAATTGTGCTGCTATAAACATTGATGTGGCTGTGTCCCTGTAGCATGCTCTTTTTAGGTCTTTTGGGTATAGTCCAAGAAGGGGAATAGCTGGGTCAAATGGTGGTTCCATTCCCAGCTTTCCAAGGAATCTCCATACTGCTTTCCAAATTGGCTGCTCACATTCTTTCACATATTCTTAAACTTTTCATTTGAGAAAATAATTACAAAAGACAGACAATCTGGAGTAAGTGGATGCAGGTGAGGGAGAGAGCATATGAATGAATCCTGATGGTGTGGTTAGGCCCAAGTGGCAAGGTGCAAAAGCAAATCCATCCATGAACACCCCCATGATTAGAGTCAATTTCTGTGTGCCTTAAGCTTTCGGCAGTTTGGTTTCTGGCATTTGTGACACAAAGTATATTTATTGCTGCATTTCTCAGCAGACACAATGGAAAACTTTATATTAATTATGAGATAAAGATAACTATTAGAAAGTTACAGGCTAAAATTGCACCAATTAGCACGACTCTTTCATTTCGGTGGCAATTTTTAGTTGAAAGAAAAGCTGCAAACAGCTTACTTGAATACTTATTCAAATAAAAGCAGTTTATTAACAATTCAAGTAAAGGGGGTCACAGGCAGCATGAAATAAGAATGGCTCACTCTCCAGGCATGGGGCACTGCTGGGCCTCTTATAAACTTCCTATCTCATCAATCCTCAACCTGTGAGTGAAGTTTTACTTATTATTCTTGTCTAACAGATGAGATAAAGGCCCAAATTCATTGACTAATTGGCTCAAGGTCACAGAACTAATACACAATGGAATAGGGAATTGATCCATGGAACTAGAACGCAACTGTGTGGTGAGAGGCAGGAAAACACTCCAGACTGGAGTGTAGGAATCAGAGGGAAAGAACTTCAGAGCTGTAACATGAACAGGGTTTGGGGTCAACTAAGCTAAATAAGTAGAAAAAGAAAGATCAAAAAAGCAGCCTTCGTTCCCTGGTAAAACTTGGGCACAGAAGTTTAGATTCGTATTTTTTCTTTTAAAGCCCATCAGCTTTTCATAATCTGAGCCCAGCTTCTCGAGCCTAAATTATTGTACTTGTGCATGGCAGTCAAAACTTCTGCTGCTATTTGCTGAGGTCTCATTGTGTACCAGGTATCACATCAAACAGTGTACCCCACCCCAGCACTGTTTCCTAAGATCCCCTCTCCATCCCCCAGCCATTACAACACCCTGCAAGAAGGACTACTGTTCTCTCCATTATACCCAAGAGAAAATAGCTGGGAAGAATCTCCTTGTTTGATCTCCATAGCATCCTGTGTTGTTCTCCTGTAGCAATTGTCTATTGTAACTGATTTATATGCTGTTTTCAATGTAGACTCACCATCAGACTTCACATTCCATGAAGGAATTCTTGGATGCTGATCTGTTTTCAGTAGCTAATAGAGACTGACATCCATGAGGCCCTCAAAATCATTGAATGAGCCAAGTATGGTGGCACATGTCTGTAATCCCAGCAACTCAGGAGGCTGAGGTAGGAGGATCAGCAATTTAATGAGGCCCTAAGCAAATGGATGAGACTCTTCTCAAAATTAAAAAAAAAAAAAAATCAAAAGGGCTGGAGATGTAGCTCCACGGTAAAAAGCGGCCCTGGTTTTGATCCCCAATTCCCAAAAACATTAATGAATAAAAGAATTATAAGTGGTAAACATCCAAAAACGAAAATATCAAAAATAGTTAACAATGTTAACTAGTAGTTAATGACATCCTGTATGCTTTTTATTCACTCTTTTTTAAAATTTTTTTAAATTTACATATATTATTTTTTAAATTTGTTTAATTAGTTACACATGACAGTACAATGATCTTGACATACATTTGAATCAGATGGGATATAATTTCTCATTTTTCTGAGTGTACACGTTGCAGAATTACATTGGTCATGCAGTCATGTATATATTTATTTTTTAGTTTTAGGTGGACACAATATCTTTATTTTATTTTTATGTGGTGCTGAGAATCAAACCCAGTGCCTCACGCATGCTAGGCGAGTGTGCTACCACTTGAGCCACATCCCCAGCCCTTATTCATTCATTTGAATGTTTCTGTACATTACATGTTAGCAATAATTAGTACATATCCCTCTCTATATGTATAAAAATATAAAAAATAATAAACAAAAAGTCCTCTTAAAAATTTAGAAACCAAATTTAATTTATATGAACTAGTTCTTCTTTGCAAATGGGCAATTAAACTACCTTCAAAATTAGGCAATTAAGAAATATGCTTCATATGTTTCAATATTTTTCTGGAACTGGAAATCATTAATTCATGTAGGATTCCTTCTGGCAAAACTGAATGATTGACTTCTTCGTGAGATCCCTGGTCCATGAGTACTAGGGGTATTAATGCATTTGTGGTGCCAGTGGAGAATAGAACTGGTCCCTCCTAAGTTGAGGATATCAGAATGTGAAATAAACAATTCCCAAATCTGAACATGGGACAGAGAAAAACAAGTCCCTTTTTATTTATTTTTTCAAGTTTTTGCAGGGCAATCTCACTCCACTGGAAAACACTTTCAGATATTGTCTGTTTGTATCTATCTTCCTCTCTCTCTTTCTCTTTCCCCCCCCCCACACATACACACACACACACACACACACACACAAGCTTCTTTCTAGTCATTTTTTTAGTTTTTCATATTTCTACAATCCATCCATAGTGCAGTAATCATTATTAAATACATGTATAAGATCTCTGGCATAACACTTCCCAAGAATATATATTACTTCACACTATTTGTGATTTTATTAAAAATATGTAGTGGATATGGAGGCTAAACAATATTTTTTTAGAAAGTTAGTTATGTCAACATCACATATTGAATATCAAAAAAAAAGAAAAAGGATTTGTTATAACCTAAGTTGTGACCTAGTAACTGTGCAGACAACTGCTGCAACCATTACACTTATAAATATGCTCTGGCT